TACATTTGATTCATGTTGGGGTGAACAAACGAGAATATTAGATATTGCCTACATTAGGTTTACTTCTCCAGAAGGATATTTTGGGGGTTTTATTGGGGTCTACCCGATGTTCCCCAACACCGATGTTCACCACTACTGATGTTCCCTGAAATCCTTAGGATTAGGGTTAGGGTTATAGGGTATGGGATTTCGGGGAACATCGGTAATGGGGAACATCGGTATTGAGGAACATAGGTATGCACCCATTTTATTACCTCCGTTGAGAAGATTATGTTTTCATTAGATTTGGTTAGTTGGTTGTTTGGTTGGTTGATCTGTTAACAAGATAACTCAACAAAATATGAACGGTTTTTCATGAAAGTTTTTTTAAGGGTGGTCCTTGGTAAAAGTACAAATGGATTAGATTTTGGAAGTGATCCAGATCTGGGTCTGGAAGGTAGGGCCAGATTCCAAAATTTTGGCTTTTAACCCCTTCACGCCGGGATTATCATGCCTCACTTTACTGGCTTACACGCATGACTGCACAGCGGCCTTTGTCCGGTAGCAGCTACATGGCCCACAGGCTGCACATAACACCACAATTAAGGCTTAAACAACATACATGTAACAGGACCATTTAGCAGAAAGCAGCCAACGTTGCCATTTTTGATAAATTCAGAAGCAATCCTGTTGACATTTTAAATGTGCAATAAAATATGGAAGTCCAGCTAGTGGATATGCAAGTATTTCTTTTGGGTGTACTCACAATATGGCGGGGAATTGTTCAGACTTGGTGAGGTTTGCACTCTCTGAGTGCTTTCTAGTTCATTATTTGTTTAGCGTAGTGAATTCACTGAACATGTGTTTGTATATTCACATTTTGTCTTTCCATACCAGGAAAAAGAAGAGGAAGTTGCCACAGGGATTTATAATAGAAAATAATTTTTCAGAGTTCCATTTATTCAATGATCAGGTGATTTTACCACTTCCTGTTTAAAAATTAAAAGGAAAAATAGGGGCAAAACTATTACATGTACACCTAAAATTTCTTTGAAAATTTACAAGGAGTTTTACTGAGAAGAGAGCTCGAAATTGAATGAATATTCTATGCTTATACTGCTGAATATATCATGTTACTTGGAGTTCTAGTTCTCGGAGAGATGAAGGCTTAAAGTTTTCTATCCTGTGTTTGATGGGTGCTTAAAATTAAAAGGACCAAATTTAAATAAATTCCACTTTCAAAGTGGATGATAATTTTTTAAATAGTCAAAACCTTGACCATGGGTTTAAGTGTCAGTAAGGCAATATTGCTGTTAATCCTTTGGGTTATTGTCTTGGCTTTTGGTGATGAAAACAGTCACAAGACTTGAAGATCACAGGGAAATGTATCCTCAGTCCTAAACAATTTATATAGGTAATAACTGCCCCTAAAGAAGCATATTATCAAAAATCGATCATAAAAAATCAACTTTATCATTTGCTCGATTTTAATTCAACAAGGAAAGAAAATGAAAATGCTACAGAACACTGAAACAACCGGAAGTTTATCAGATCAGCGGAACTACAGTTACCGCCAAAACATACTATCGTCACAATCAAAGTACAGTTCCCGCCCCAATGATCAAAGTTCAGCCTTTGTATGAGCACACATGGCACACAAATTTGTCCCGATCTGGTGGGGTACGGTACATTGAAAAATAGGTCTTCACCTCTGGGGTGGCCATGGCAGACAACAAAAATAGTTGTTGACTCTACCTTGGTGACTAAACTGATGGTTTAGGCGTGATGGAAATGAACTTTTTCGTGCGGTGATTAATCTCCATGTGGGATGTGGTTACACCAGGACTATGTATACATCAAGCTTACCGCATGCTGTGTGGATGGGATTGTCATAAGAATTAACAGATTTCCTGGTATGTTTCAACAAAATGTAAGTTAATTTTGATTTTTTTTCTTCTGTGTAATATTAGTATACCAGAAGGCAAAATTTGTTACTAGTGCTTATGTAGGCCTACATAATTATATGGTTTTTTTTCCAATTTGGTGAAAAGATATGAAGTTGTTAAAGTTCAAACAATGTGAACTGTACATTTATTAAGAACCACTCTACCATATTATTGGATGAATATTAACAGATTGTCTGGTTTTGAACTGAGTATTTAGGAAAAGCACTTGCATATTTCACAGACACAACTTGAAGTTGGGAAAAATAAATTCAGCAAGAACGAATTGGAATCATTTTTAAGGGCCTAAATGAATTACCAAATGTCACTGATTCTCAAAAAGATTTGGTGATAAACAATTAGGGTTAAACTTGATAGTTCATAATATCTTTACCAATAAAAGGAAAATGGTCTTGAATCAGATGTGATTCTATGGGGTCTTCTACCAATCAAAAGCTCCCTTATAGTTCCCATAATCTTTGCACTAACCCTAGTTATGATACTTTTCCCCTAATTCTTACAATCCCAAAGATTTGAGGTCTAGAGCTGTTAATATTTGTCAAGGAAACTCAGAAAGTTTGGTGCCATGCTTTTTTGCCTTTCATTGCAAAGTCCTTTCATTGCAAAGTACATTCCCCCCCCCAAAAAAAAACTTAAATGAAACTGTTACCTTATAAAAAATTGCTTTTCAAAAATTACTTTTTCAAAAAGGGTTCTTTTCAAATGAAAACAAGAACTCTTGTTGCCCTAGTAAAATGAAAATTATTTTGTTCTTTTGTAAATTCTGTCATGTTTATATCAATATCAGTCTTTCACTGACTTATATTTGATTCCACTGAACAAACATCAGACAAAGGCAAACATATGAATATTTTTTTCAAAGTAAATATTTCGATTTTGACTCAGGGTCTGAGCAGATGATCAATTCATAATAAAACAAGATCTGGCATGTTTTGGCATCACTAAAATGTCTGGATGTTGAAAAAAAATCCATGACAGAGAACATTTAAAATGTGGACATGGTCTGTGATTATGGGTGCACCCCGGTATATAAATTCCCATAGACACCTATGATAAATTCCCTTAAAATCAAAATTATTTTTTAAAAATACTCAGAACTCTCACAGTTGTTCAGGCTGCACAGAAAAATGATGATCAACATGTCATCTTTCATTTTCTATTCAATTTTTGGTGCATTGACCCATTATTTTTTTGAGAAATTCTCCGCCAAAGAAGACGACCCCTAAAACGAATATTTCCCAAACTGGCAAAGTAGCCATTTTGAATAAGGATCCCTCCTCAACATGGCTAAATAGTGCCACTTTCGGACCCAATTGCATCCACAATGTTTAGAATTGGAAGCCCCGAGTCCTGGCCAGAGGTACTGTGCCATATGTCTTCAATTCCCCAATTCCATGGCTCCCAGAACTCTCTTATATAACAATTTGAGTGTATAACTTTTAAGCCCCTGTGACATATCCAAGACAAAAGACCAAGACCCCGCCAAGCCCATGAGATTTAAAAATTTCTTGAAAATCATACCAAATACGTAGGAAATGTGGCACCAAATTCAAATTTCTGTGATATCATCCCGAATATTACGACTCCGAAACGACCTTGAACCGAATATTACGACTTCGCTACGACTTGGATCCGTTTAATTAAATTTGTTCACGACTGAGTCCCGATCTTGTTACAATATAACAGACAGTGCTCTCACAGAGTACCGACACAACCGAAAAAAATTTAACCGAACAAAATAAAGTGTTTGACCCCAGTGACCCCATGATGATCTTTGACCCCAGTTTTGGTCACGTGATATGTTGGGGCTGGGCTACTGATACTATTGACAAAGTTTGGTTGAAATCGGTCAAAATATGTATAATAGACAATGTCAACGTTTGTTACAAACTAACCAACTAACTAACTAACTAACTAACTAACGGAGAGACATGATGATTTGTTGAGCTGCTATATCTCACACCTAAAAACAGAACAGAAAACAGAGTCAATAAAGAGAGAAATTCTTCAAAGGAGGTGGATCAGACTGTTTTTATTGTTTTGGCAAATCAACAATAATTATGATTCTCCAAATCATGAAAAAGAGTAAAAATGACTACCGGTATATCCAACTCTCATTTGCTTTCCTTGTCAAATTATATCCTCCATCCAATTTTTCATTTTGATGTAATTTGGTTAAATTAGGTGGATTTGTTTATGCACCATTAGATTGTCATCAAAGGTCACGAACAGTCCAGTCGACTCCATCATGGCTGTTGTGTCATCTCGCAGAGCTTTTACGATGACGGGTTATTTGAACAAAAATTTACAAATTACTTCTGGGCACGCGCACTTTGGTAATTGATGTGCACTAACCAGTGAAGTATTTTGATGCACGCAATCCATAACTACTGTTGAGTACTTAATAAATAATTATTAAAATTACTTTTGATGGACTAAATATGAATACATCGATCAAGGTTAAGTGTGTTTGCTACCAACTAAAGGTAAAGTGATTGATATCTTTGATGACTAACATTTACCAAGAAGGAGGAAATATCGGTTTTCCCAACCAAATTCATCAGAATTGTAGCAAGATTAAAGGCAGCATCTTTTTTGAATCAAACACTAAACAATGAATGATAAACAGTGTGATAAACATATATTTTTGAGGAATTCAAATATTAACTCCTAATACGTTTTTAAAGGACCCATGACATGGATTTTACTTGGGAACATAATTAGTGCAACTTTCTACTTCTCTTAAATGTATGAAAACTATTTGACATCTCTTTTTGGTTAATCTTTATTGAAATATGTACTTTAAAACATTTAAAATTGCCCATGCTTTTCTTGACAAATGAGGGCGCTGTTGCTGTGATGTCACTTCAGGAAGACACTGCTCAGATTAGGGGTTTTCTGTTCAAATTTTGAACCCAAAATTTTCTCACTGAAAACATATGTGAGAAAAGTTGGCTAATTTTTATTGAAATATGTACTTTAAAACATTTAAAATTGCCCATGCTTTTCTTGACAAATGAGGGCGCTGTTGCTGTGATGTCACTTCAGGAAGACACTGCTCAGATTAGGAGTTTTCTGTTCAAATTGTGAACCCCAAAATTTGCTCACTGAAAACATATGCGAGAAAATTTAAGTTTGCTGAATGGCTTACTGTCAGGTATTGAAACAACCACGGTAGGGAGGGAATCCCCACAGAAAAGAACATTTCCAAAATATCCAAAATTCTGGCCACTTTTGGCGCCGAAATAGCTGTAACATTGGCGTGTTCTGCCTGAAATGACATCGCACTTTTGCTTGTGAATATGGAAATCTGCATTAGCATAAAAACCAAAAAGTCACTGAATTTGCCCTTACAAATGCTTAAAAGAAAACTGAAAATAAAATTAAATGGGACTCAAAGGTGCATTTTTAGGGACTGCATAAAAAAAAATCCATTTACACGGGCCTTTTAAAAACAGCAAGAACTCTATGATTGCAACATTTCCTATTGAGAGTATTGTGACAACTGGTCACCTGGGGTCGTAGTATTTAGAAAAGCGGCTGAACTTCAAATCGGCTGCCTTGTGTGGGATGTCCGTGAAGGGCGCGTAGTCATGGAAACAGGTCTCCCAGACACCATCGACAGTTTTGTCAGCTTCTTCCCTTGACAAATCTCGAGTTGCTATGATGGAGCTGACGGCTAGTCTCTTGACGCAGGCCTAGGATGACAACGGAGAAACCTCAAGTGAGAGAGGAAATTGGACGTCTTGTGTCCTATCTCAAGAAGGTGGAGCTTAGGTGGAGACGAGTGGGATGAGGGTAGGGGCGGGGAGTTTACATTGGACAGGTTATACCCTTGATTTTTATCCCTATCCCACCCCTAAAAAGACTTAAACTAAGAAAAACTAATTTTTTTACTACAGGGCGAGTAAAAAAACCGGAAACCCAAATGTCGGGACCATTGTTCTAGTGAAGTTCTGCATGTGGCACTTTCAACATCTAGGATATGAAAGCCCAATTCATGGGCTTTCTTTTAGTACAAGAATCATTCAAATCACTCATGTACTTTTCAAGTGACAGACTTTTAAACACAACCACCGTTTTAAAGTTCTGTCCACGGAACACAAAAGGGTAAGTGTTCTTTAGCTAAATGAAAACAAATCACATAGGAATGTGTGTGAATTGTCTTCGGTTTGCTGAAAGAACGCACAACTTTTGTGTGATCCATGGACAGAACTTTAAAACGGTGGTTGTGTTTAATATTCCGTAACTTGAAAAGTACGTAGGTGATTTGAATGATTCTTGTACTAAAAGAAAGCTTATGAGTTGGGCTTTCATATCCTAGATTTTGAAAGTGCTACATGCAGAACTTCAATAAAACAATAGTCCCAACATTTGGGTTTCATGTTTTTTGACTCACCCTATATGGTCTTTCTTTCCAAAAAAAAACTATTCAGAAACTTGCCCAAAAATTCCTTTTTCTCATGAAAGCACTCACCTTGTTATTGTACTTGGCACCAATGTTCCATCTGTAGAATTTCTCACTGAGGAAGGAGCAGTCGCCACTCAAGTTAGCTGCACGGATCTGTAAAGAAGACCTCAAACAATTTTAGTCCGCAGATACCTCATACTGGAATCTGGCGACCAGAATTAGAAGCTCTTATTGCGATGGTGTCACTGAATGCTGCACGCGTTCTTAAAGACGAGGCGCATTGGGATTTCGGTATTACCTATTGGTTGAAGGAGCCCGGAGTGAGTGTGTACTACCTGAGCGCGACTCGCACGAGCATGCGCCACCACAGAAAATGGCTGCCGTTGGATTTTTCCATAGGTTACATTAAAGTTTGACAAGAATTCTGATATATATTCATAAAATGAATTTCACACTTAGCCTCCCCCCCCCTAAAAAAAAAAAAATCCTGGCAACTTTTGCATTGACTGCTTTGACACTATATTAGTCTGCTGTCATTTCTGTACTTACTGGTATGAAAACAGAACATCATAACAGAGATCACTAATGAAAAAGCTCATGAAACGCTTTTATTATTGTAACGGACAGTCTGTGCACACTTTTGTTGTCATTGCTTTCTAGCACTAGTGCTCCGGCGGAGGGGCTCCAGCTGCGCGCACCTGACCTGGTTTTGGGTCTGGCTAGTGCGCGCTCCGGAAATAGGCTCTACAAATAGGTTGGCTAAGTGGGTTCTTTTGTTCACTTTCGCGGTATATGGCTTGGCTGGATTCCAGGGTTGGGTAAAGTTGCTACATTTGTAAACATTTGTTCAGACTGTGTGCATGTCTATGCTGGGAATTGATCAGTTGCAGTTCTGGTACCGGTGCGGCAAGTTGCCCGCAGAGTCCGCTTGGCGAAATAAATGAGATCTTCCTTCAGAGTTAGAAATCCCGTCTGTGTGTCCCCTTTTCTTGCGTTTGGCCGGATTTGGCGGACAAGAGCCCAGTAGGATCGCGCTACATTATGACAATAATGAAAGTCTAAGGTTTATAATGATACTCATAGATTGTACACAAACGATTCAAGGAAAATTATTCCAACATAGATATTCTAAAAAGCATATTTTTTTTCGGGATAGAGATTGATAAATTTGCTTGTTTGCTTGCTATCTGTACTAATACATCATCAGATGGTTGTAATTCATAAACTTGCACTTATACAATTGAAAAATGGCATACCGCGTCTATCTCTCTGAAAACAAGCGCTTCAGTTTATCTTCCTGTCAAACTTTCCATTAGTCAGTGGGTATTTGTTAAAAAAACAAGCGCGAGTGCACAATAAGCTCTGGCCCGGTTCCGGAATGTCTCACTTCATATGCCAAAAAGACGGGCATGCGCATCGATCGAGACAAAGAGGCGTGCTCCAAAAACTTTCACCAAGAGTGCATTTACTGACGACGGCATTGCATTCGGTAATTGGTAGTTATATTTTATGGGAAACCTAAGGGGCTCGTTTTTGGTCAATTTTCCGGGACAGACCGACCGACTGAACACAAAGCGATATGTAGAAGCTGGGCCTGCCTGAGCTTAAAAAAGGCAAAGTCCATTTGAGAGAGAAATGTTGCTAACAGTACATCAACTCTCTCTCTAGCATCCACAAGCCACTCTGGTTTGCTGATTAGAAGTTAAGAGTGTTTGTCAAGCCTTAACTAAAAGGCTTTCTGATTACAGATCACAAAGCTAGTGCTTTGAAACATTGACCTAGATTTTCACGTAGGTGCAATCTGTCGCTATATGTTTTTTTTTAACCAGTACATTTGGAATCCTTTTCAGTGACAGATTGTGTTTCTAATCGCGAGTAAACTTTTGGTTTTAACATGGGCCCAAACAACACCGCTGAGGTCGTCGGTAAACACATTGATCATTATCAAGAGTATGTTTGTCAAATTAATGGAGGAGATTCTGCAAAATGCAGGAAACATAAGGGTAGGTTGTTCAAAGGCTTCAATATTTAGTGGACAAAATTGGCATTTAGCTTTATACCATATAAACATACATCTTGAATTAGACAGCCTTCATGTCCATGTACATGTAAGTTAAGGCATATAAGATCATTTGCATTTGTGCATAAAGTGATTACTGAATTATGATCATCAAAAAGCTTATTTGGATATAAAGATCGTACTGGTACTAAACACCCTTTGAAATTATTCCGTCTAGCTTGCTGTCATTTAGAAGAAATCAAGAAATGTAGGTGATTTCCAACGATCAGTCAATTGACTGATTGTTGGAAATAGAGAGCAACATTCACAAAATCGTGTTTCCTGGGCAAAAGGCTGTGCATGGTTTTCCACTGTTTTCTAGAAAAATGTAATATCCACTGAGCTGAAACTTCAACAGATTATGGGTTTTGAACACTCTTCTTTGGATTTTGAGTGGTGTCATTATTGGGCAAAACAAAATGCATGAAAATCATTAAATGATACTACATGTATATGTCTATAGCCCTAACAGTCCTGAATCCTCCAATTTCAATATAACTTTGCACACCCCCTAGGAAGTTATAGGGTCAGTCAACTAGGTCAAAAGAGCAACACACGTCGTACATCTGACACACTAGCCAAAGAAACTGGACACCCAAGCTACAAACCCTCGCACGTACAGCAAACAACTCAGCCGTACATGTACATCTCACCTCTTAGGGCAAGTCAGTTTAAATTGAATTTCTCTTTCCCCGATTTTGGTATCGGAGATGGAAAGGGCTGACCATATTGACTCTTCCCCGCATCAGTGCCGAATCAGTGGCTGTCGGTAAATAACGCGGCCGGCAAGCATGCATGTTACATTAGAGCAATTTGGCATGCCGCGCTCATCAGTCCTCATTTGGCTGTCACTCACAGCTCGCACTATGTGTGGCCAGAAGGGCAAAATCTTTTAATGTTAAACTCGCAACCAGTCTGTTTCATATTGAACTGAGACAAGCTGCAGACTGGTTGATTTTTGCATCAATGATATGAAAAGGTAAGTCAGAAACTAGTCCTAAATCTGAGTAGAACATACATGTACATATGTGGAGTACATACAAACTTAACCTGTGGAGACTTGTTTTCACATTGATAATGGTTGTATTTTGTCAGTTGATACATAGCCAATAATTGACCAGTGCTGTGCTGTGTTATCGTTTCTCATGGCATCTGATGTGTTTGACCACTTTGGAGGTTGACGATTATGGAATGGGGTTGAGGAACAACAATTATAGGCATAGGATAGTGCAGTTCCCAGCACACATGATCTGATACACCGTGCCCTCTGGAGACGTGCACACAATAGGGAACAAAAGATTGTATACGTCTCCACAGGGCAATTTCTATAGATGAATATATCTCCACAAGGTTTTCACGAAATAGATAAATGGATTTTACTCAAAAACTAGGAATTTCCAAGGTTGGTTGATAAGTCGTATTAAAATGGAAGAGTTTTAGAAAAGGGATATTAAGTCCGAACTTCAGCCAAGGAAATTAATTCTGGTTAAAATAAGAGCATTTTGAAACTTCACTTTCAAACTCGAAGACTTTACTACACGAGAACAAAGAAATGTCTCCACAAGGATACAAATTTCAGTATGTGTGAGCATAGCTTTTTGGTGTAAAGTATAACTTTCACAAGCGTCATAAACATGAAATATGTTTTGAGTCATTCCATAAAATTGGGGTCCAAAAGTCAGTGACAAGTTTTTGTGTCCCTATTACACCTGACCTGTGTAGTATGTAATGCAAGTATCATTAAAATTAACTTCAAAACTATGTTTTATTTGTGTGGCAGGTTTCTATCTTGGAGATAGAAGGTACTATTAAAGAATGTCTCCTGAATTTACAAAATCTTATATCAGATGTAACATGGACACACAAAAAACTGGACCCCAAATTTATGGAATGATTATTTTTTTCCCCATCATGTAGCTTGATTTTCATTTTAAAGGTTCCCCACAAATGACAATCAAAACCTTTTTTCACATTTTTGTCTGAGAAGTTACAATGTACAAGTGTACTTGGTAATTTGTAAAGATACTTGTACCCAATCCCATAATCTGGAACCAATTCCTGAAATCAATGGTCGGGTACTCAGTTACTCAGTTCCTATGCACAGCCCTATGTACAACAAACAAAATCTGACCACTTATTTACCACCTAAAAGTCAAGTCTAGTGATTCAGCATTTGAAAGCACTGTGCTTTTATGCATTTTCGGCATGGGCTAGGAAATGGCCTTTTCGCACCATCGTCTCGCCTACCGGTACCTGTGGTAAAATCGACAGGGGTCCACTGCAGGCGCACAGAGTCATGTTATCCTATACTAATGAGGACATCCAATTGTTCCCTTCTTTTGCTCCTATTGTTTGTACTCTAACTTTAGCTAACCCCTTAGGGCAAGCCAGTTGAAATTGAATTTTCTTTTTCCCCGATTTTTGTTTCGGAGATGGAGAGGGCTGACCATATTGACTCTTCCCTGCATCAGTGCCCAATCAGTGGCTGTCGGTAAATAACGCGGCCGGCAAGCATGCATGTTACATTAGAGCAATTTGGCATCTGTCCTCATTTGGCTGTCACTCACAGCTCGCACTGTGTGTGGCCAGAAGGGCAAAATCTTTTAATGTGAAACTCGCAACCAGTCTGTTTCATTTTGAACTGAGACAAGCCGCAGAATGGTTGATTTCTGCATCAATGATTTATGAAAACGTAAGTCAGAAACAACAATGTAGTCCTTAATCTGAGTAGAACATACTATGTGTGGAGTAAGTACAAACTTAACCCTGTCGAGACTTGTTTTCAAGTTGGTAAACGGTTGTGTTTTGTCAGTCGATATAGCAAATAATCTATCAGTGCTTTTGTTTCTCATGGCATCTGACGTGTCGACTCATTTTGGAAGTTGACAATTATGGCATGGGGTTGAGGAAGAACAATTATCAGCATATTAGGATAGTGCAATGCACCAGCATACATGTACATACATGTTAGTGAACCGTGGTATGTGATAAATGTACAACATACTAAATCTGGACAATTATTTACCAACTAAAAGCCAAGACAACTGATTCGGCATTTTAAAAGCACTGTGCTTTATGTTAATTTGGCATGGAGTAGGATATGGGAAGGCCTTTTCGCACCATCGTCTCGACCTACCCGTGTTAAAATCAACAGGGGTCCACTGGAACTGGTCCCATCACATGGAGTAGTGTTATCCTGTACTTATGAGGACCTCCTATTGTTCCGTTCTTTTGTTCCTATTGTTTGTCCTCGAACTATTTTTCAACATCTCCCATAAGGTCTGTACACAAAAACTTCCCGAGGACTTGGCCCAGATCCTCGATGTTATTGTCAACACTAATCTCCCATTGTCCCAAGCCCTTAGTCGTAAAGGCTAACAAGAGCGCACGAGTAGGCAAGGCATGCTACTCATCGCACTTACAACGGAAAGAGCCTCTCATAACCTTAGTCCTAATCAGGGGCCAATTTCACGGCGCTGCTTAGCACAACAATTTGCTTAGCACAAAAAAAGTCTGGCTTATAAAAGCAGGTTACCAGCCAAAACTCCATGTGATTTTCATGCTAAGCAAACAACAGCTGAATATAATCACGCACAATATACATGTACATCACATGGAAATTTGGCCGGTAAGCTGCCTTTATAAGCCAGATTTTTTTGTGCTAAGCAAATTTTTGTGCTTAGCAGGGACGTGAAATTGGCCCCAGGGCTAGAAGAAGTCATGTTGGACTCTTACTAGTGTGAAAGAGGTTCCTGAAAACACGGGTCCAACACGGAGACTTTGGAAAGCGTGTGAAAGGCCGTTTGGTGAATGGTGGGAGATGTTAGAAACTGGAATAGACTTACCTCACTACAAGCAACTGCTTTGAGATCTGTCCAGTCTACTTTGGCCTTGTGGTGGTCGTAAGCATGGATCAGCTCATGGGTTAGCAGCATGCTGGTCAAGCGTTGCGTTGGACTCCGGTTCTCACAAACAATGACCTGGGTGATCGACAAAAACAAGAAAAAAAATTGTCTATAGAACTTTTTTCCCCCAAAAAATAATTAAGTTTTTAATTTCTGAAGAATCGCCCAGTGGTATGGACTACATATGACCCTTATTGCCATATTCTATAGACAATTTTTGGGGGGAACAAAGTTTTTTGTATGTGATGTAATACAAGTGATTATTGTTCACTAAAGAGTTGCTAGTAAGTAAAGATGCAAATTTCATAAGACGTTTCATAAGTTGGTCTTTATGTGCATAAATTAAATAAAATTTATGCTAATTTATGCACAGAAAGACTAACTTATACAAAATGTCACACACATGACCGATCAAAATGTCACACGTGACCACAGAACAAATCCCATTTTGTAAAACTAAAACACAGGGTGTACAAATGCATTCTGTAAATCACAAAAGACTAGTCTTACTCCAAAATGGGTGTGTGTGTCCTTCGAATTTTGGAGAAAAGTGTGAATTTCCGGTATGGGCCCGATGACATTTTTACGTCTGATGTCACACACGTGACCAAACTTTGATGAACCCGTCTATTATTTTGACACAAGTTGTGAAAGTAGAAACTATACTCTGAGGTAGGGAGTGAAAAACACTAATCTGATGAATCAGTGAAAGTAGTTAACAAGGGGTAAAGCTTCAAAAATCAGACAAGCTCAATTTTACGCTACACAGTGACCAAAGCATGGCCCACTATGCACCATTAGTACTTATCCAAATCGGGAAATGGAGGGTTTAAACTCTGGACTGTTGCATTTGTGTTCTCAAGCAAGACATTTACTGTAATTGCTTTTTTTTTTGGCCAATCAAACAACAGATAAAATATGTACCTACCAGGGGAGACGTTATTCATATTCCCTGCGTTGCATTGTCCAAACCCCTGAACTGCCATTTGCAGTTATAGGATTTTAGGACTGTTTGCACTGTTTATCAGCACATTTTGAAAAGTTACTGTAAAAGCACCTTTGTACTTTCGATTTTATGTCTCAAAAGTCAAAAAAAGTACAAAACATTGTCCCTACATCATTTCAGAGCAAATTATGTGAGTTAGGCCAGAAAAAAAAGTCTCCGGTTTCTGGTATGGAGATTGTCCAAAAAGTAGTGCGGCGACGCGGCTTTTTTTTTTTTTTACCTGACTTTTTTGCTTCAAATGTCGGCTGATGACAGCAAATGGTGCCCGACTAAACTTAGTGCAAATATATGGGAGTCCAGAGAGGCCACATAAAGCTTATTCTCGATCATAACCCCATCTAAAAACACGTTAAAATTGTGCAGCAGCAGGATTCCAGTCAAACCAGTGAGTTTGGCGGTTTTGAGACATCATCTTTCATTGAAAAAAAAACGTTTTCATTTTGCCGACGCGCATGGCTTCGGCGACGCGCGCGCATACCAGAAACCGGAGACTTTTTTTTTTTGGCCTTAGTCTTCTTTTTTTTTTAAAGGTTACAATAAAATGTACTCAAAACTGACTTTACACAAGCCTTTTTTCCCATTAAAAATGCAACATTTTCCCCTGGCCTGGGCAAAAGTCAACAAGCCAATTCAAGGGAAAAGTCACAAATGGCTTTAGGAATAAAATTGAAATATAAAACGAAAATGACTTTTTAGAGGTTGAACTAGATCGATCATTTTTTTGATCATTTACCACGTTTGTCATCAGAGTCTCCTGATGACGACAGATGGAGCATACGGTCTGAAATGTTGAGTTCCCCGGCTCTTTACAGAACCTCACAAACTCACAAAAGAGATTTTTTTGGGGTCAAATGGTGCAACCACACTTGTGCTCTTATTACCATATTTGCTTGAACGAAAATGGAAGCACTCAATCAAAATTCTGTACTGAAATGCACTGCGTTGGAAGTAAACGAATTTGAAACTCTGCATGTGGCAACTCCAAAACTGAAACGCTTGTTCATTTTTTTCTGGGCAGTTTTTGTGTCTTATTCCCCCCCCCCCCCCTGTGATTTGAAATTAAGTAGGAAAACGGTTTCCCATTTATTCCAAACTGTCTGTGATCAATCATCACAGATATTGTCTCTGTGTCTCTCTCCCTTCCCCGTGATACCCAAAAAGGAAAATGCGTGCACGCTCAGTGAACATTTAGGTCGAATATTACTTTCTGGAAGTGAACGTGATTGATGACGGCGCCTGACCCAGATTTGTTTTGAAGTTGACTGATAAGATATCAATCTTTGACTTTTTTTTGCCTAACGTTACTACCCTTGTATGTGAGAATGCTTTGCAAAGTATACTGGCAGAGATGAGGGTTCTTAATATGCTACTTTCTTCAGCTTCCCATTACTGTAGAAATACTCAGACATTTGGACCGATCAATTGTGGCTTTCTGGAGTCCTTTTGCTGCTTTCATCATCAATTGTTGACATAAGGGTTTGTTACGTAGCCCTACATAACATCTAGTCTGAGTATCAACAGTTATTCACGGAGCCAGTCTCCGTATAATGTCCGATATATCAAAGCATGCAGATTTATGCGATCTCGCGCCTCAGCCAATCGGAGTCGACTATACCAAATCGTGATGTCATTTCATTCCGAATTTAGGACTGAACATTTGATTGGTCAATTCGAATGTAGTGTTTTGAAATACAATAAAAGGCGGGGGGGGGGGGGGGGGGGGGGGGGGGTATCGCGTAACATAATACAGAGTGCATGACAACAGCCTTTGTTGCTGTGTCTGGTTTTTTTTTTATCCATGTCTATGAGTATGATGAGACAACTGGTGAATGACCGAAGATTTCAATGGTCAAGATTTGAAGCATATGTTTACAAAGCGCGATAAACCTAATTTTTGTTAACTCTGAGAATCCTGCCCTCTCCCAGTTGCCCAAAGTCAGTTTCGATGGCTGTTACCGGGTAGTTATTCACAATTTAAGAATACAATCAAACGAAAATTGTCGCTTCGAAACAGTTATTTTTCTATATATTTCAATAAGGGGGGGGGGGGGAAGTGGGGGATATCATATCGTTTTTCCTCCCGACTTTTTCGTCCTCTTCCAAAAAAATGTAGCCTACATATGATTCTATAGCTCAGAATAGCTGATTCAATTACTCCAAACTCACAAATGATGTTTAAATTATGATCTTTTGCTCAAAAGAATTGGTTAAATAGAAATTGCCTCAGATCACACCACAGAGCGTCTAGAATCCAACATTTTTCGGGGCCTTTAAGCGGGCCCTGAACCCCACGCCGTTAGGGCTTCACAATAGTTCAGATCAATGAATGTCCCCCCCCCCCTCCCACTATTGAAAAGCGATTGACGCCATTTGGAGACATTACACACTTTAAAAGCTCACATAAATCAAGGGCTACACCATATCCATGTTTTTCCCAAAAGAAGCAAAAAACTCCAGTTTCAGCCATAAATTGATGATTTAAAGCAAACGTGTACGTTGGATCTTCTCTTCTTGATGTACACGTGAACTCTATACGGGTCATTCAATAAAAGTGGGGTCCAATTAATAAGATTTTAAAATTTTATCAATTCAGAACACGTTATTGAAGCCTTGTATCACCAAGAGTTATTGTGTAAAGCAAAGTGCATGTACCTGCAAATAACAGGGATGAGATTGCCTACTGAAAAAAAAAGTCTGAAAATTGACAAAATGTCTGAAATGCATATCTTTCTACACTAATAATGCCTTTCTCTCAGATTCAAAAAGTCTGATTTCAGACAGAAATCTGAACAACCTCATGCCTGAAATAACTTAAAAATAAGTTTGAAGTCAGTTGTAATGATACTTGTGTGGCAAATTACACAGGGCAGGTCTAACAGGGACACCAAAAAGTCAGACTTTTGGTCCCCAAATTAATGGAATGACCCTACACCAAATATGCATGCCATGAAAGTAAGGCACTATCGGTGGGCAGGGTACAGTGATGGGAGCATTCCAATCCCAAATCAGGGGTGTCCTGAATATACCAAGTACTTGAATATTCGATCATCAACCAAATATTCAAATAGCTTTTTGCTGGTTGAATATTCGAAAACAAAAAATAGGCACATACACACACGACTGTGTTGTTATTTTATCATAAAGTTGCAGCGTTTTATTGTCAAGTGCTTCTTTTTTGTCGACGGTAACTTTTTCTGTCGACGGCGGTTCATTGTTGACATCCTTTATAGGAGGATACCTTTACAACTATAAAATGTGATGTGATCAAGCTAAATGAGCCGTTTGTCGACCCCGGTCCAAAAAAAATTATTACAGATTAGAAAAGAGCACAATCTCAGCATTACTGCTGTGAAAACCGCATGCTGATACCATCTTTAGTTCAAAAATTGTGGAAGTCGGAACACCAAGAGATGTAATGAAGTGATGTAATGAAGTGGTCCTATTTTGGCCTGTATCTCCAAATGAAAGTTCCCGACAAATGACTCATTTAGCTTGATCGTATCACAAATACTTACTGAAAAACACTCATGGGTTCCACATCGCTTACCACTCACAAGTTTTACCTGCAACATTTTAGTTTTACCTGCAACCTGCAACACGGACTGCTCTATTCCAAATATGACTTCATCTTGCCGTTTTGGGGGCAATTCTCACCTTAACCCTTCTTTAAAGGGAATACACATCATTTGCTTTTGCTGTAATTTTCAGAAATGGATGGATTTTGGGGGTTGGAAATGTATAGCAAATATAGTTACACTGACTTTTTTTGAGGTTTTGGGTTCAAAAATGCTATAAAAACCAAGAAAAACAATCATTTTCCTGTAGTCTGGTTCCCTGACTCCATTTAAGAAGAAACAGAGCAGTGTACATACATTGGGGAATTGTAAGGTCAGGGAATCAGTCTAGCTGGCTTGAACCCGTTCATAGGTGTGTTATCGATTGCAAACAAGTGCGATGGTCAATTGGGGCCAGTATTTTAAAAAAAGCCAGTTTTTTTCCAACGCTGGTCAGCCGATCAGCGTTGGAAATTGATACAAAAATACCACTTTTCTTGAAAATGACAGTATACCAGGTGCCATGATTTTACAGGATGCTTTGCACTGTCATTCACTAACAGTCCAGCAAGGTATTTCAAAATGATTTGGTAGTTTTATTTTTTGATGTTTGCAAATGTTGTATTTTCCCTTTAAGATTGTGTCTACAGATGGGGTGCTGGAAGGAGTATTCATAACAAACAATTTTTCTTCTAAGTTGCAGAACTTTAGAAGGCAACAAAGACAGACTTGGGCAGTGTCTCTCTTCAAGGTTTATAAATATGCACTTACACAAATTTGGACAAGTAACAACAATTTCCCGTGACGTGGGCCACGAAGGCAAAAACACTGAGCAACCGTGTTTAATGTTCGTCCTCCAGAACCTCTCACATCCCATCTGTCTTGTGATAAATTGAAGTTTCCGAGTCGGAGTAAAACCCCTATCCACGCCTTAAGCTGTGCCGTCTCCTCCGTGTCTCAGCTCGCACTATTGTTGATATACCGTCTTTTATGGTATTTGGACACGTCGGGAAAAGCAAGTACTGTGTCGGCCGCCCCATTTTATGAAATAAATTATTCACTTTTACCCTTTTTTTAAAACATTCTCTTCACTAGCTAACACTTCAGTGCATGCAGTGGCTGCCTACAAGACTACCGTGCGCAATCGGACAAAGTGCGCTCTTGCAAGTTACTAGAGAACTGATTCACACGTTTTCATCAGGAAATTTAATTTCTGGTGAGTACATGTAGTTCTTTCTTTTTCCTTGTTGTGCACGTAACGAACTGCAAGTTAAAATGTATTGAAAATAAAGTTGAATTTCTGGTTCCGTGCTTGACAAAAGGATAACTATTCTGCTCTTGCAGCTTTTGTACAAAAATGGGTAATTGTTTCAAACTCATACCCTCTTCCAAATTTGACTAAGATTCTTACACAAAATGTAAGAGAAAAAGAGACAATTCGGGGCACATTTTAAAGTTCCATTCTTCCATTTAAAAGTTCAGCTTTAGTAAACAAATATTTTTACTTGTAAATTCAAAATTTATCACTCTAAAGAATAACTGATAAAGTTGTCTTTTTTTTGGGGGGGGGAGTTTAGGTATTTAAATTGTCTTCCTCATTTTTTTCATTTCTGACATTGCAGTCTCTCATTAATATATTTTCACCAGCATGCAATAGCCCCACTTTCACTTTTTGATCATGTTTTTGGCTTCTACCTAAATGACAGAGTAAACAGGAGTACAAAATAAATGTTTGTTTAAAAATGAAACGAAATCTACTAGGATTTAAAGCTAAATTTCAATGATAACATTTTTTTAATTCTGTGATCTGAGGAGTTGAAGTCAACACTCACCGAAACAAAAATCCCAAAAGCTGGTCTTCCCAAGCTATTTTTGAGTTTTACCCTGAAAAATAGATTTTGATTTTAAAGTATTTTTTTCAAGTTATACAAAAGTTGCTCACTTTTGAATGAGACATCTAACAACCGCATCCAGTTACATTACATTATTTAATTTGGAATTATTTGCGACCCAACAATAATTCAGGTTTATATTCGGTGCATTAAGGGCAAATATTAAAGAAAACCAAACTAAAAATGTAGGCCTATTTTCAGAGGTTTGAAAACGCCCAAAGTAAAAAAGAAGAGGTACTTTTGCAGTTTAAATATAGCATACAAACTGAAAATTCATTAGGAGAAAGAAATTATATATGTCGAAGAGCATGGGTAGAACAGCTTTTAGCAAAGAACCAAGATTTGTAATATTGTATGATATTATCTTGAGGATTTTTGTTTTGTTTAGGGGGACGTAATGGACATTTAATGCCATAAATTATTAAAGGTAGTAGACCATTTGCAGCTATCCAAAAAAAATAACCGACCAACTTATTGTTTTAAAAGCTTACTTGGTTTAAAGGTAATATACGGTACAGGTACAACATTTGCTTTTAATGTAAGTTTCAGAAATGGATGGATTTGGGGTTAGTATTTTATAGCAAATATTGTTTAAAGTTTTGTGTTCATTGATGACAGAAAAACCAAAAAAAAACATGCTGTTCTTGTAGTCTGGTTCCCTGACCCTATACTTCAGACGAAACGGAGCAATTTATAGATGTCACGGAACTGTCAGGTCAGGAAACCAGACTAGCTAGCTTGCACCCGTTCACGGCTGTGTAACCAATTGCAAACAAAATGTGGACTAACTAAATTTGGTAAATTGGGGGCCATATTTGAAAAAAGTTATTTTTTTTCCAACTATGGTCAGTCGACCATCGTTGGACGGCCGACCATCGTTGGAAATTGATAAAAAAAACCACAAATTTTTCTTGAAAATGACAGCACACCAGGCGCCACAATTTCACAGGATGCTTGCAACTATTGTTCAATGCAGTCAAGTAAGGTACCGTATATATTGGGTTTTTTTTATGTTGGTGTTTGCAAATGCTGTATATTACCTTTAGAGACATGAATGATTAAACGCATTCCTAAATGATCGAGGTACAAAATGTACAGCAGACACAGGCAATTAATAAAGCCACAAAATCCTGTGATCCATTAAGTTATCCGTGACAGGCCTATTTATTCATTATTACAACAACCGTGACTTTACCTCAAAATACACAAGACTGCAAAACGGCCAGTTTTCGAGAAACAGATGACGCAAATAGTCCGCTTTCTTTACTTTCAATTTCCACTGATGCATAAATAATTGGTCTGGTGGAGTAGCAGACGCCATGCAGTGGTAACTGTGACCCAATAAATGGTTCAATTTCATATGAGTAGCTGGTGTGTACTGCTGATTTCATTAATAAAAAGGTAAGCATGTGTTAAACGGCTTCTTACAAATGGTCTCATTAAACTTGGACAGAGATAACTACTACCTGTTTCAGATAAGGTAAATATGTCATTTCAATGAAAAAATCTCCAGTTTACTGATCAGTTTAAGGAAAAGTACAACTTGGTGTTTAGTTCATGATATGTCATATCTTTGTGTTGTTGTGGTATGTACTTATAGCTGATAATATTTGGTGTTATTAACGAAGGTAGGTCATAATTTGATGTTCATTAGATCTTCCGAATATGAAATTTTAGTATTGGTTAGCTTTTTCTTAGCCAGTGATATTTTGGTTTAGACAAAGTGTTTATACAGTGACGTTCATGTGTTAATTAGGCTTTTAGAAGAGCTTTTTTTCTTCTCTTCTTCAAAAAGTCAGTTAAACGTTGCATTTCTCAAACCCTTGCGAATCCATCTTTTACATTTTTCTGTCTTTCATTGTTTTATTCATTGTATCAGTTCAAAGAATTTCTTTCCATAGTACACACACATTTCCTGACCTGTATCCTGTTCTACCCAACATCTGGCGACATTCAAAACGGACAATAAATACGAGTATTTTTGTTCTCCTTGCAATTTTCCCTTCTCCTTTGGCCATAGCAGACATCTGGTAAAGATGTTGATCATCTAAATGACTTGCCAAATAGGTAAAAAGCTTCCGCGAGAGACAGTCTCCGGTTCTTTAAGTGCCTGCGTCATACATGTACGCGCACCACTGATTACTGGCGCCCATTGGCTAAGCGTGCCACTTAGCACTACTTCCGGTTCCAAATGTTCAAATGCTACATCGTGTGCACTAAATATGGTAAAGTTGAAATAAGGCATTGGCGCATCCACCGGGGGTTGGGGTTGGGGGGGGGGGGAGGTAGGTTATTGGTATTTACCACTCAAATATTTGTAAAGACTGCCTTATTCCCTTTTTCTATTCAAATGCACTTTTTTCACTAGCGCTTACCCAACTAATATTTTGTAAAGAATGCCCTTTTTTTAACAAGTGTCTTTTTTTTCTGAGAAAGTGCACTTTTCAAAAAGAAGTCATGCACTTTTGTGCCATTAGCTGTTCCGGGTGCCTATTTTTTGTATTTCACACATGTATCCCCGTGAACAACACATTGTTCGTTAGTGTGCATAATCGTCGGTTTTGAGCAGCGCCCCCATCGACAGATGGTACCAGCCCCCCCCCCCCCCCCCCCCCACACACACACTATTTGATTTTATGGAGGCCAAGTGTCCAGAGTAATAAAAACGTGTCTACATTTCAGCACGGATGTGCAAGTGTCTTTTTCAAGAAATATTTTACCCAATTAAAATGACCCTTGCTGCATGTAGGTCATTGTGACGTCACACTTATGAACGGATATTCCCGAAATGTGTTTGTCGATAGCCATAAACAACACAAGGCACGCCTAGAAAACTGGTCACAGAGTGCACAAAACTCTATTCAATTGATTAAGAATGGTCGAAAAAGTGCTGATCGTCCACGGAATCCACACCGCAAGTTGGTGCAAGCATGTGATCAGGGATGTAGTCATTTCATCACAAATAAATCACAAGTCCAGTCACAAGTAACAGTGGATGGACAATAACAAAGGAATGCCTTTGTCAAAGCTCACTTGAATAGCTTGTGAGTTGAATTGGGACTGGAGGACTTGTGATGGACTTGCAGGGACTTGTGATGGACTCGACTACGTCCCTGCATTTAGTTGTAGGGAGGTGGACGCAATGTGCTGTAATGTCAGATTAAAATGACAGTAACAGAGCAGCTCAACACCACAATTTAACACCACTGTTACACTGTGGTGCCGGACAGCACAGTAGTAAACAGAAGTAACAGATGACTTAATGATTAAAAAAATGACTCGGAAAGTTTTCAACAATGCTCGTACCTCATTCCTGATTGGATCAAATCCTCCACTGACATTGTTTTCAGTTGAGCATCTCTCACAGCAGACTTGCTTGCCTATTACAAAATCACTGTGGAATGACAAACCAAAAAAACAGGAGATATTTTACAAATAAAATTTTATTTTTTCACCTATCAATGATCCCCATGCACTGGATACCCCTAGAGTTAGGTGCTTAATACATTTTCAGAGCACAGAGGTAAGGATTCCAATTGCTCTTTTCACTGAAATTGTGTGTTTACTTTTTGTAGTGGATGGTGCCCCTGGGGTGTCGATTAGGTCATTCCGAAAGCGACAATCCCCAACCTTGGGGTACGGGGGTGGGGGGGGGGGGGGGGGGGGGAACAGTTGACATCCATATGGAGTAAGTAACCATAAACAGAACTGTCAAATCCCATCCCCACAGCACTGAACTCTAAAAAAATCATGCATTATTGAAATTTGTCCTCTTAAATGAGCGTACATGTAACATTTACACTGTAACAATTTTTGACTTTTGTGATGTAGGAATGGTTTTGTTAACACCCGTGGGGCGCACACCACCAGACTCAAAGCCGAGGGTGCTATGAATCCCAAGGGGTTAAAAACAACATTGTTATACTTACCAAATGTCCCTTTTTTTGTAACTGTTTCCTTAATTTAGGCATCAACATCTGACACACACACTGATGATCCTTAAAGTTAGAGCAGATCATTGGCAGCTATCCAAAAAGTAACTAACCAAATTATTTTTTAAGAGCTTACTTGGTTTAAAGACAGTAATGGCACTATTAAAACTCCCTGTGAAATTATTCCTTCTGGCATGCTGACATTTTGAAGAAAACAATCAAAGAAGGTCATTTCCAAAGATGAGTCAAGTGATGCATGTTTGGAAATTTATGTAAGTAGTTGGTTGTAATGGGGCAAAACGCAAGCGTTGAAATGAAGTGCACGTGCACGCAGTTGCTGTTATTCGTCAACTCAGTGTGTGACATCGGGTAGCTGCAATTGGATAGGTGAGAACGTGTTCCGAATGCTGATTCATAATATGACTTGGCAACTTTTGAATTCAAATTGAGATCCTATATTGTTTCCTCAGAATATACAATGTACAGCATTGACTGAGCTAAAATGGTTCATCAGGTTACATGTAGGAGTTAAGCACCCGTCTTTAGATTCTGAGCACTTTTGTTGCTTCAAACAAAACAAATGCATGACAAATGATCCACTCTACCTTAAAGTGGTATAACTTTTTGTTATGGTGTGTGTGCCCTTGGGCAAGGCACTTTGTCACTCATTGCTTCTCTCCACCCAGGAGTAAATAGGTACCTGTGAGGGCAGAGGTGGTTATTGTGGTTGATATAAGCTGCTTTGCGCCGAAATGGCAGAAATGGCAGCATTGAGCTTCCGATTACATGGCATTTGAAAATAGGGTAGGTAGGTAGGTAGGGAATTTTTTTTTGCCAATTTTTGTTGTGTACAATTATATGGAGGTGTCTGCGTGTAGTCAAGGGTAAAAGGTAGAAATTGATGGTTTTGGGTGTATTTTTCTCAATTTTCCCATAAAATAGTAGGGTAGGGGCTGTCGGAATAGGGCCTAATGATGTAGCGCCTTAAGCACCAATAATGGAGGAGATAGTGACACCTGCGCTTTATGAATACCCATTATTTATTATTATTATTTATATCAGGCTTCCAGCGGTAAAAATAAATCAGCGTATTGCATGCTTTCATAAAAAGTTCCCGGATGACTACAATAATAAAGTACTGCAATAACAATGTTATTGCAGTCATCCGGGCATTTTCGCTGGTTCCCGCTTGATCAAGAGCATAGAAAGTCACAGTTGTCAACCACTCAACAGAGCGTAGCGCGCGCGTGATGTCGAACACGGCACACGCCGCGCGCATGCAGCGCGCAGAGAAGGCCAGGTATACGCGCACTGTTGTTAACAATTACAGTGGCAGCTTCAAAACGTTTGATGAAAACGAAAAAGATGTAATGAAGACAGTGTCTTGAATTGTGCTTCTTGCGGATCAAGTCAGCCTGATATAAATAATAATTATAATATTGGATGGCTTGTTTTCGGTGGATACAAGAATATATTGCACTCGCTTTGACAATATTGCACTCGTGCAATATTGTCATAGCTCGTGCAATATATTCTTGTATCCACTTATGTACAAGAATATATTGCACTCGCCATGACAATATTGATAATAATATTGGATGGCTTGTTTTCGGTGGATACAAGAATATATTGCACTCACTATGACAATATTGCACTCGTCTTCGACTCGTGCAATATTGTCATAGCTCGTGCAATATATTCTTGTATCCACCTCAAAGCCATCCAATATTATATAATTATTATCATCAGAACTGTAACCTCTGAATCTCGTGTCTCAAAGCTCGCAATTATCACAAGGTTATGTTACGCCCCTGTCCCAACTTAAGATGAATCTGCCCCATTTTGGTTCCAATTGGAACACTTTAGTTGAGACCGATGCCAGTCTAGTTAGGGCATATTACATGCACACTGCAACGATTTAAATTATTTCTTGCACAGTATAGTAAGCTACAAGCCTTTTTCTTTTTGAGTTATTGGCACGATATAACAAAACAATTGTTGACTGCTGTGATGTGGGATATGCCGTTTATTGCCCCCTCTGGACGCATAGCACCCTTGGCTTCGTATCAGGAGCTAAGCACCCCTCTGATGTTAAGAACAGGGTCTACCCGATGTTCCCCAATACCTATGTTCTCCAAAATCCTTAGGGTTTATAGGGTTAGGGTTGGGGAACATAGGTATTGGGGAACATAGGTATTGGGGAACATAGGTATTGGGGAACATAGGTATGGGGCACATAGGTATTGGGGCACATAGGTATTGGGGAACATAGGTATTGGGGAACATAGGTATGGGGCACATAGGTATTGGGGAACAAAGGTATTGGGGAACATTGGTATGCACCTGTTAAAAACGGCATATCCCCCATCACAGCAGTCAACAATTGTTAAATATATACCCGTGCCAATTTAATATCACTATTTTTTCCCAATGGTACGCATTCCATACATTTTGTTTTACTGCCACCATCAAGTCTACTGCTTTCATTCTGTGGGTTGGCTTCGAACACTAACACCTAAATCATACTCAACCTATTTTGACTTTTGACCAAGTTTATAAATAACCTATATTTTTGCCTTTTGACCTTGGAAGATGGGGAAGATAGTAACGGCTGAGATATTATCAGGGCAGAAACACGCAAGTCATGATGGGTGGATGCACTTTTTTTCCATCAATTCCCCTCATTCAAATTATACTCCAATTCGCATGCATAAGTCACTTTTTAGAAACTGTACTTTTTGTCCAATATGCCAATCAATGCTAATAGAAACCATTTTTGTTTTAAATAATCTGCCGAATAAGTGAGGTATTCTATGAAATGAATGTGGTACACCGACGAAAGTTTATTCAGCTTGCGAGTTTAACAGGCAAGTTCATGCTTGCCAACAAAATCACATTTGTTTTAGGTTAAAAAAAAAGGTGAAATAGTATAAGGTAAATAACGCACAGGCAGCGAAATGACCTGCTTTATGTGACACGTTCAACAAAGGTAATCAAATTATTTTCTCAATTTTTATTTTTTCTAATAAAGATTACCACCTGTATTTTTTCCAAGTGTGATAAAGCGTGTTTATGAAATCCCACAGTGATAAAACTGGTTGTATTTCAATTGTCTTTTTTTTGTCTGGTTAGAGATGTCAGATGCATAAGATCACTGCTTTTCTGTGCCACTCTGTGTCCATAATCCAAAGTGCGTGTTTGTTTGTTTGTTTTTAAAGGTGTGTATTTTTTCTGCTTTTTTTTTCCTTGGACAAACAGTCTCCCTGTGCAACATGTTGTGGTGAAGTGATGTTGATTTCTTTGTGGGGCAACCATGGATCTCTAGCTTGTTGGCATAATTTCTAAAAGTTTCTGGAGTTGTGATGTTAATAACCAACTAATAATTCTATAGAAGGTGTCATAGGTACACTTTGCGGGCATTTTAGAACAAACAAATCGATAGGTGTTGGTTCGGGGGAGCAAAAGTCAATTATTCCCTGAGAAGTATGTGCTAAACCACAAGGGTTTTCCTGATCAATTTTGATCAGGGAACATTCCATCCAAATTTATACTACTTGCGATCACAGGCCTGTAACAGGTTAAGTTGCTTCTGAAAGACTGTCCAGAATTTCTCTTGTGACAGGGCAGGCTGCTGTTTTATTTTTAAGGGAATTTAAACTACATGTACCTGTCGGATGAAAACTTCAATGAATATTTCATGATTTTACCCAGATAAACCCCAAGGCCATTATATGTACTCATAAAAACATTGCATTTTTAAGCTCTTACCTTCCCAATTTATTGATGGCTTGCAGGAGGAACTTCACATTTGGATCTGTGAAGGAATTCATCCAAAATTAAAGGGATTAAAGTTACAGATGCAAAGTTTAATCTTGTGGAAATCTACATTCTCAACATATGTGATGCAATCAAGCTACATGTACATGAGTCATTTATCGGCAATTCTGATTACAGCCCAAAATGGGTCAGTAGGGGTGGAAATTTCAAATTGACTTTTTTGTAAAATCGGAAGGCTACATATGTACTCTCTCATGTCACCTATTTTTTTTTCTGAGAAAAACTCACGATAAAGTAGTTAAAATGTGACATTTTTGCTAAGGAGTTAATTTCAATAGCCTGAATAAAGCATGTTTATTGTTGCTTAATAGACACTTCAATTTTGAATTGTTGATTTCTCTGTTTGATTTCTCTGTTTTCTTCTTTCTGATCTGCCTGTCTTCTAAGTCCCATAACTTCTGAACGGAAGATCATATTCACATGGGGTTTTCACCAAATATAATCTGAAAGATAGCCCTATTCAAAAATGTAACACGACATGGCCAACAAACGACGCATTTAGCTTGATCGCACCACATACGTCTTCATGCTCAAAAAATAAAAGTTAGAAAATTACATAAATTGCATCTTGGAATTCCTTAATATCCATCTGAATATATATCGTTGCACCAGTCCATGTTTGGTTGTGTATTTCTTTACAATCATTACACAGAAATGCAGGGGGTGTCAAAAAACCTCAATCCTCTAAGATCCCTCTTTTTCACAGCTTTTCAAAAAATACATCGCAAATATCGATACATATTTAGAGAGTATGGTTCATTAGCTTTTGACCAACGAAAATATCTTTCCAATTGGCTAAATATTTCTTGAGTTATGCTCAATTCAAAATAAGCGCCGATTTTTCAATCTGTCCACGGTCTCAATTGTCATTTGTCAGGAATGTAATGGATTTGGGGGGAGGGTAGTTTTGCTTTCTTCAATGTTTCCATCTTTCCTTCTTTGTTGCAACAATGGTCAGTTATCCTTTTGGAAGTAATGGTAGTCCAGAAAAGGACTGTTTGGTTAACTTCTAACATTTTCACTGTGCTGCGCTGTCTCTGTTTCACGGAAGCAAGTTTCAGGCCCATGTTTTTGTTGCGACAGTCAAAATATCAGTTGCCGTGGACAAAATGAAAAGGCGGCGATTGTTTTCAATGTATGAGTCAAAAAAAGGAAAAAATAAAAGAGAGGCGGGCTGATATTAGGAAGCAGGTGGGGACGAACAACTGATTTTTTTTCTTCTTGGCCTTAACTGATGCAGGACATCTTCACACTATCATAATGAGTACAGATTATATCAATTAACAAGTAACTGTTGCTGGGGCCACTATATAGTGTCATGGGACCCAAATCGAAGACAACAACAGAAAAAAAAGAACACACACACTTCGGGTGATTAACTCTTCATCAATAGGGCCCACCAGTGTATCCATTTGGAGTTTGAAGCACTTTGAACTTTGTACAAACGGTACAATAATACTTCAAATTTTAAAAGGCATTGCATTTTTTTAATTGACAGACTTGTAGAACAAGTCATGTGGACTATAAGTTTGACTTGTTTTAAACACTGCACGGACTGGTTTTCTACAAGGTGCACCACGTAAATGTGGAATGCAAGTCTGCTAAAATCACAACTTCAGAATATTTTTGGATCATGATATAATTGGACTCTTGACTTACTCTGGCATCAAAAAAAGAAAGAAAAAGGTCTAAGCAGCTGCGGTCATGACTGTAGCCCATGGTGCCCAGATACTAGACAGCGTCTAAATCTTGGGCCCCACTGCTACCTGTAGAAAAATGTTAGGAACAGTTTCATTTTGAGGTGTTACCATGAACCAGTCCCGCATTTTTTTCGGATCTTGTGCTGGCGCATCCTTTGTGCATATGCACCGTTATGCAAGTACGTAATATAAGGCGAAGTAAAAAAAAAAACATGTTTAGCGTCCCCGCCCGCTTCCTTTTTAGAGGCTGCCTCCTTTTTTTTTTTTTTTTTTTTTTTTTTTTAAAAGACAAAAATTGATAAATTTTAACGATCTCTGACGAAAGAAATCGTATTTTTAGACTTTTATACCGTGTATAAAGCTGTGGAAATAGTCAATGAGTCCAAGTGGCGGCCATTTTGAAAAAAGCTGGTAACCATCTTGAAAAATAGCCCGGCCGCGTTGTCTTGAAAAATGTGTCGGGCGGCCATTTTGAAAAAAAAAAAAAAAAAAAAAAGGGCCTCCTCCTTCCTTTTTGTCAAAGAGGCAGGACGCTAAACATGTTTTTTTTTTTCATTTTGCCTAATATAATAAATTACAACCCCAACCCGAGCTCGATGCGTGGCTCGATGGATAGGGCGCTGGACTGATGGCCAAGTGAACTGAGCTTGAGATGTGGTTGTGCACTCATATTTTTTTTCCATTCTATCTAAAGTAAGACTTTTCTTCCTTCATTGTTTTAAATTGAATCCTACATTTAATTACAGAATATTTCATCTTTTTTTCTGATTCATTGCTCTGGAGGATTTTTTGTTTTAAAGAGAAAAATAAGTCCATAATTGCAATAGTCTCCTAAAACAAAGTCACAACGGCTATGTAAGTGCCGAACCAGCAAATAGTCTAGGTAAAAATAGTCAGAGTAAAAACGTGTTACATGTAAGTCCTAACTGGACCTCATTCATCAATAGGGGGCGGCCTTATTTAGACCAACCCAATTTTCCTGTGTGAGTAACCAGGTAAAAATGCTTCTAAATGAAAAACACAGTTGTTAAATAATCTGTATTTCAATGCACGCATATTGCAAATTTTCATACATTTTTCATAATTTTCCATTAATTGTTTTAATTAACAAAATTAAACGGAAAGAATGTAGTATCCAAACGCCACTTCTGCGTTTGTGTACAAAGTTTACTATGGAGAGTCAAGTGCATTTTCAAAGTAGGCCTACTTCAGTACCTGCTAACAGGAAGTAACATTACAAAATTGAAAATGTTTCTCACTGTCCCACTCCCACTGTCCCAGATTCCTGTCTTTTCAACATTTCTGCAGTGACTGACCTTCCTGAGATAAAACATGATCAACAAGTGGCGTTGGGATGCCACATTGGGAAAGAATGTTACAACCTGACGCTGCTTTTTTTCTTCATATATCATCCCAATGATAATGAAAGTCAGTCCTTGCAAAAATGATAAGACATGAATCTGGGACTGTCTGAGATTGAGAAACATTTCCAGTTTTGGTAGGAAATACTTAGAGAACTTTCTTGACTCTCCATAGACTTTGTACACAACCGCTGATGTAGCGTCAGGTTGCAACATTCTTTCCCCACACACACTGTTTCCGCATTACTTAAGTCAACACAAACATAAAAACTTACGATGTTGACTTGCAAAGTTTACTCTTCGCAAACACGCGTTGTGTTGGTACGAAGCGTAGATCCCTCTCTCTTTCTCTTTCGTATCCACTGATGCATTTGTTGAATTATCTTTCTGATCATCTGTGCCACGGCTTCCACTTGGCACTGCTGGAAATGTTGTTTGATGACCAGCATCACTATTTTCTGGGGATAAACTTGGAGTGGAATTGCTCGACGTTTCTTCCATGGGCGCCGCCATTACTGATTTTGTTACAGCGCCACCACGAGTCGTGATGTCTCGTTTGTAGGGCGCCCCCAGTGTCAAAACAAAACTATATTAGATGAACTCCAAAATGTTACCCGCTCTGGAAAAAAGGGTATTATGTCGCAACAAAATGAAAACGAGTTATATATGGCGATCTGAAGAAATTCATAATGCAGTTTCTCCATAATCAATACCGTATCGTTTTATATCTTGACTGGGTAGTTAGTTACAAGAGAGAAGAAACTTCAAAAACCAGCAGACTTGTATGACTCGTGACTCGGACTCGAACTTGGTACTTAGTTTCCTCCTGAAACATCCTCTAGGGATCTTGACTAGGAGGACTCGGACTCAGACTCGAGTCATGATGACGAATGACTCGGACTCGACCTTGCGGACTTGGACTTGGACTCGGACTCGACCTGTGTAACTCGGGACTCGACCTTATTTTGAATGTATCAAAACAGGCTTCAGCGTCCACATTTGATATTGCGTAAATGCAAGCTTGATAGTGTTTGGTACCAGATTATCCTTTCCAGATGCAGACACTGCATGCTGTGACTTGCCTTATTAGACATATGTTATGTTTTACATGTATTTCCAGTTCATTAAATTAGAGACAAGCTGTGAAGAATGGAAACATGTACCCTGTGAGGTTTTAGCAGTACCTCCAAATTTATTTCCAATATATATTAGAGGCGACTCGTGACTCGGACTCGACCTTTGTGACTCGTGACTCGGACTCGGACTCGACCTGCATGACTCGGGACTCGGGAGAGGTAACTCAGACTCGAATGATTGGTGACTCAAATATAAGTCTGCCAAACACAGGAGGACCCCCCCCCCAAAAAAAAATGTGATACCTCTCATTAAGGTGCAACTTGAAATGTTCGGCTTTGAACGCGGACAGTTGAAAGTGAGGACTAAAGAAAGACAACAAAACATGCATAACCTTTATTTATATGTATATATATATTTTTAATTTCTCACAGATAACACATCACTGTAGCGTTCCAACATGGGAATATACTGGCCGCCCAGCCTTTGGGGTGTGGTCTACCAATCAGATTTGTGGTGACACGTGACTACAATCGGGCCAATCATGGAGCTGTTACCGGACGAATTAATGAACTACACTGAACTGAATGAAAGTTTGTCCAACTCCCACTGCCTCAATTTGAGCAACGAGAGGGCGGCACGGGGCATCCTGTTCAACGCTGCGGGCAGCGCCCTCATCGTTGGAATCATGCCATTTTTGACCGCTTTGGGTTTGAGCTCCAACTTTGCATTTCTCTATGTTGTCTACAGCAGGCCAAAGATGCGAACGGTCACCAACGCCTACTTGGCCAACCTTGCTGTGGCTGACATATCCTTTTTGATTTCGGCTACCATACCGGCTATTGTACAGTACAACGCATCAAAGATCGTGTTCGACCAGTTAGCCATAGGCGTTACCGGATGCATCATTGTAAACTACGTCATCCTCATATTCTTCTACGCTTCGGTCTTCATGGTATTCCTGGTATCGTTGGAGAGGTATGGCGCCATCTGCCGTCCATTCCACCAAAGGGTCGTCATGGGGAGGGCGCGAACTACAAAACTCATCATCGGGGCGTGGACGATAGCCGTTATTTTTTCGTCGTTAGTAATACCCTCGTTAGCCAGTTTAAAGATCACCTGCGTCACGTGGCCAGAAGGGGAAGAATTCCAATCGTACCCGTCGCAGTTTGGAGTGTGCGTACCTCTGGAGGACTGGGTGAACTACGTTTCCAACGGCTTCAAAATGGTGCCCTTCTTCACGGCCATGTTTAGCAGCGGGTACATCTACACGAAAATCGTGATACAACTCAATAAGAAGATCCCTGGGTTGGCCCATAGGAGGCGGTATAACAAAGCCATGAGCCGCGTGCTGCGGTCACGCAAACAGATCGCCGTTATGCTGATCGCGACCGGGGTCATCTTCTTCCTCTGCCAGGCACCTGCGCAGATCACTACACTGGCCAGAATAATTACGGACAATCCCGACATTAAGCCGCTACTCGACGACGGCCAGCGGGGCATCGTGCAATGGGTCAGCCGGGTACTGTTGTTCATCAACTCGGCGGTCAACCCGATCGTGTACAACGTGACCAACTCGAAATACCGGAAAGCCTTTGTGGAGACCTACATTTGCAAGCAGAGAAAGAAAGTGTCGCTGCAAACGATCTCTATCAAATCCCTGTATATACCAAACGGAGGCAGTACGGAATTCTACAGAAATAACAACTTGGAACTCAATACGCTCTGATAATGACCAACTTCGGTTGAATAGAGGTCAATATTAATGGCAAATCATTATACCAAAACAATGTAAATAAAATATGACTTTCCAAACTGTCTCCCTCGCACAGTGATAACACGTGAGTTTTTGTAGCAAATATATTTTTGCATCGGAAAAAGGATCACTGCCAAATATGTTTTACTATAATTTTTTTTAAAATTGTGTTTGAAACAACCTCAGACTTTGATAGAAAGCTAGAAAATGCTAAGGTTTGGGTTTTTTGTTGATGACAAAAGCCAATGCGGAGTTCTAATTTTGTTGGGTCCTTTATTGAAGGAAGTAAACATTTGTTGGGAAATTAGATTAGCCACCAAAGCAGCTCATCTTAAACTTTAGAAAAAAGTGGAGTCTAAGTCACTAGTGCACTGCGTACCATCAGTGGCAAGGAGGAGGGGCAACTTTCCCCCTGGTGACATTTGGACTTTTTAAAGAGAGACAGAAAAGTAGGGGGAGGAGTTAAAAGTACGAAATGATAGCACCAGTGCCTCACAAACAGTACTTATAATAATAGGCAAACACCATCCTGCTTTTCACAAAGTGTACAATTCCGTGCAAAATATGCGTGAAGCAATCATAGAACAGAAATGTATTGGTATTAATCTAAAAAAGTTTCGGTAAAATGCTAATAATAGACACTGAGAAAATGTGATCACAAAATTGGGCACAAAAATGGAGGACAAAGGCTAGTTTCACCAAGACCTAAGGCTTTAAACTCCATCTAACTAAGTAGATTTTAAGCTGAGGTAATGACCTCTTTTTGGAGAACATGGGTGTGTGCTGTTTGCAAACTTGATGAAGCAATAGATTTTATTCACGAGTCGGCCATATTAAATTGTAAGCGAGGCAACCTCTTCCTTTTTTTGGAACTTGCGAGTAGAAAATCTATGAAAGCAATGAAAAAAAAAGTTCATTTCAAATTAATTCTGGGCAGCAGCTTTGATGAATTGTTTAAAATGTGTGATTAAACATACCCTAATGTTTTAAGCCAAATTTTGAAAGTGAGGCTTGGAACGCACGCCAATCATAAAATAGTCTGGCACCATCCTATTCAACAGTTTACAATTTATAAAATAGATTCAGGGAACCCGATCGAAAATGGCTTCATCGTGAATAAGGTCTGTTGATAACAGTCAGTGAATTTGTGCTCATTAATTAAGAAGTTTTATACCAAAGAATGCATTTCTGACGATTAACAATAATGTTCACTGCTGTGATGTGGGATATGACGTTTTGAACACCCGAGGGGCGCATAGTACACTCGGCGAGCGCCACTCGGGTGTTCAAAACGTCATATGCCACATCGCAGCAGTAAACATATGTTAACGGTTATACCTCTGTCTTGGATTCTTTGGATTTTGGTGTAAAAATCACGAAAAAACAGCAGCAAACACAACAATCATGACAAGTCGAACGTCAACTCACATGCATGTCGCGTGCTCGAAACAGCTTGATCGTCTGAAAGCTGCTCCGTGCTCCCACTCATGTGTGAAAACATGGTGAAAATAACGTGGGTACCAACGATACAAGCGTTTCACACCATACGTACAAAGTCATAGCGCACTTCCTGTTTGATATCACGTACGTGATATCCCACAGAGAGTGTGCCAAGACTTTTTATAAACTTAACACGTGATCGTTCTAGGCCAATGAAAATACAAAATTCAAGACAGAGGTATAACAAGTATTCTTATAGCAGACACAAGAGTTGAATCACCGATCGTATAAAGGGATGAGGATATTACACAATCGTCACAGTCTAAGTACATTTTTGTTAGTCATATAAAACACCTCATTGTGCAAATTTGTTAAAGCGCAGGGGGGGGGGGGGTCACTATGTGCCCCAAGAGGCTTCTTAGTATACAGTTGTCTTGTGTTTTAAAAATTAAAACAGAATTTCTAATATCAAAAGTGAATAAGACACGTGAACTTGTGTTTGCTTTTTTTCGTTTCTTTTCCCCAATAGTTTGAAAAATGCATACACTGTATAGGGTGGTCCAAAAAGAAGAAGAAAATGTTAACACTTTTTATGAGGCAGATTTCTCAACATTGCAGAGACATGTTGAAATTGTTTTAAGATATTCCTAAAATACAAGATCTTGGTCGTATATGGTGAAAACGGTGTTGGTAAGAAACTAGTTTGTCCATGTCTAGGCCAGTCATGTAGATTATACAATTACTGCAGTTATTTGTGTGCGCGGTGCTGTTGTGTTGACCATATCTCATAATAGACTTGCGGGTGGACAAACTGCATGGTTTTTAGACCATCCGTGTCTTTAAACCAGCGCCGTTTTCACCATATACCACGAAGATGCTGTAGTCTTGAAACAATTTTAACACGTTCCCCAATTCCAACAAATCTGAAAAAAATTCAAACTTCTTTTTTGACCACCCTGTAGTTTGAATATTCTGAAGATCTATAGTAGACGAGTATCTGAAACCTGGGGGTGGGGGGGGGGGGGCGAAAGAGTAGATAGTGTCATCACAACGGTGTACATAAAATACATTCACAATAATTTAATGATACACATGTTCAGTATAGGACTAATGCTTTATTACATTCATCTATACTGCCATTTCGCTAAGGTTCAATACGAATGCTGAAATTGGTGATGTTGCATAATAGTTGCACATATTATTTACAATGTACATAATTTACATAAGAAATTAAAATGATGAATATTCAAAAGTACTACTGTCGCGGGCTTGTACTATAAGCTCACGTGATCACATAAGATTATACTATTTACTCATTATAAGTTGAAAACAGGTGTTTTTTTTTAATCAAGAAGCGGTTCTAATCCTAACGTCTTTGTAACTGAACCATCAATTATCTGATATAATTTAGTAAACCCTTTGAAGTCTTTCCGAAATTGTCCCCAAAATTCGAAAACAAAAATCCTATAAATGAATAATATTCAGACTTTTTGTCTTCAAAAATGATACAGAACCGCACCAAGTTTTTAATTAAATAAACAAAATCCATACCAGATTATGCCCTATTCACAGATAATTGTATATCAACTTCATTTAAAATCGTACAAGTTAATATTTTGTACAGGTAAAAAAAAAGGTATAAAACCCTTCGCCCAACACGAAAGCAGATATTACCGCTTATTTATATAGGCTATACCTCAAGACAGTTTACCCATTCCTATTGGTCGAGAGCCCGTCACGTGGGTGGTTTTAAACGATTGATGAAACACCGACTGGTTATAAACCTTTTTCCCGTTGTCACATGAAATTTTGACTCATTATGAAATCTGACAACTTTTACTCTTGTATTGGTTGAACCCTCACACGTGACCAGTCACTCTTAATAATTAATTATCTTCACTTTAGGCATGCGCAATACACATGTACTACCAAATGAGTCCGTATTTTATAGTCCTAGATTCGCACTACACCGGCACCTTCAGCCCCGGCCTTATCCGCGTCCAGCAGGCTCCTAGCCCGTTTTAATCGTACTTGTTCAAAACCGGCCAATCACATATTAATTTATTCCCTTTTTCGAGACGTGAATCTCTATGAGAAATGAACGATAATGGGGGAAAAAGGCCACACATTTGAACACCAAGCTCCACACATTCAAAACAAGGGCAATTACTGTTACCCCTTTTCTTGCCAAACGTTGGTCAAAATCAATGTCATTTCTTTGTCAATATGATCTACAAAAATAATCAGAACCATTTGATGACTGGCGAGATGTTAACGTCCAATTCGCCTGTAAAATGTTTTTACCAAATCAGACGATCCACCAAATCAGGTGTCATGCTTTTATTCTTTGAAACACCATTTTTTATCTCCATAAGAACCAAAAACGTCAAGAATGCTGAATTTATATCTCTCCTGTGTGAACATTAGAAAAAAGTTGATACCTTAAAGTAAAATAATCTAGAGGGCGCCCTGTATGTTTCATACACCAGGGTCGTAAAAATACGGCGCTGCCATATTTTAACAGCTATAAATATTGTCCTTCAAATGAGCTCCTCCGCACGTAAAATGCAGATTATTTACAAGTAATACATGGTATATTTTCTCTAAAAAATGGTGGTTTTTTTTACCAGCCTTGAAACTTTCATAATTTCAATCTGTACATTGTTATCATGTGGGAGGCACACTTAACTACAACTGTTTAGTAATATTTTTGTAAACAAACTTACTGTTTCAAAAAAGGGTAGCGTTTACCACGACTCTCCGTCCATTTAAATTACATCCATGCCAATGGATGTATATTTACCTTTCAATTCCCAATTATCAAGTTTCAATCATTGTTTCCTTGACGATGGATCTACAACAAGAGTACTGATAAACGTGACGGCTCTTCGATGTTCTGCTTTACTACAACTGTGTAACAGTCGTCGGGAGTTAAAAGACGTCCGTGTGTTCAGCTGTTATTCACCACAATGACCTCACCCTACAAGGTGATCACAAACTCACCACCGCGATCCTAAACTGACCTTATGGCGCAGCTGTCCAGTCCCAATCCATCGTTATCAGAAATGCAGTTTTGCTTTCACATCAGAGGTGACCTTTGAGGTCACCACGCTGACCCCATCTCAGCAGTTTGAATAATACACTCGCTAATACAGCGTACAGTCAGTGTACATTACTAAAGTACACTGAGTACTACTTGCAGACATGAACGTCCACAGTCCTTCGGCACTTTTTACATTGTACATAGCAGCACCACTTGAATTTGCAGTTGCATCTCTCCACCACCTCCTTGGTGTACGAGTTGTACCCCCTCCCGCAGCACATGAGGTCACACCCCTCCGTTCCCATGGAGGTTTTGACGCACTCCCTCCCCACGGTGCCCAGCGAGCCGGCCCGGGGGTCGTACATGCAGTAGTCCGGCGATTCCTCCAGGTACACCATGTCGTCCTTGCTGGGTCGGTTGAAGCGGGCCTCGTGAGGTTCCATCTTGCCCTTCTTGTTGAACCTCACGCGCGAGGCACCGTCGTACTTGTCCTTCAGATAGGCGCCCACGTCGTGGAACTCGGCTAGCTGCAGCCAGCAGGTCTTGAGACTGCAGGAGCTGGACACGCCGTGACACTTGCACTGAACCCCCGCCTTGTCGTAGACAGCCTGTAGGGAGAACGGGGAGACGAAAACAAAATAATGAAAATTTACAAATTGATGGCTGAACAGCAACGGTAGGCTCAGGGCATATAAAAAAAGAGAGAGACCTTTGGTATTTTTTTTTGTCTTTTAAGTACAACTTCCCTTCGAATCGACCCATCCCATTTCGGCAGATCTGGGAGGAAAGATCAATCAAATCGTTTTGAAACTTACCAAAAGATAATCATTATACACGAGTGAGGACGCTATAATGCCATTAAATGTGAATGTATCATGTTGTATATTAAATTGCACATTTTTAATGCCCTAGACCACCATGCCAAAATTATACTGTAAAAATATATCGACATTCGACAATATAATTTAGAAAGTGTATATGGCTGAATAAATAGAATAAACAGCATCCGTTTTGAAATGACGTCACCGTCGAAAGCTTGTCGATAACGATATAGTTAATACACAGAACAACCGTTTCCGAAATTACAGCGATATGAAGCGTTTTTTTTATCCCGATTCTTTTTATTCCCAATTTATTCCGACTGCGAGACTTCCTTCGACGTAACATGAAACCGGTCCTGACTCGCTAATCCGACCGCGTTCATTTCCGGCACATTCGCCCGTCATTATCAGGTCTGAAAAACTAGAACCTAAAACATGAACTCTTAAATCCCCCAAAAGCTGCCAGTTACGTCCCGATGGTGGTTTATACAAGAGCCCCACGCTCCACGTACAGAACACAAAATGGAAGTGTTTTTTTTTTTCGCACTCCTTTTCCTCTCAATGACAAAAGTCTCGGTGTTCTGAATGGATGGGACAATGGCGACCGGTATCTCACCCCAGGGTTAGCAAAATATCCCCGGCTCTCCCCCATCTCAGTACGGCCGGGGGATGTTGACTGATACTGTCTTAATTGCTCCAACTACTTCTCCAGGGGAATGGAGACAGATGCAGGTGTTCCGGGAGAACCCTCCACGGGCCTCCCGTGTGTACAGGGAAAGGGGAATGCACTAAACCAAAGTACGGAGAGAGATTACAGCATATTATAATGTTTGAGATGTTATCATCGTGAGTTGGTGAGTTGTAATTTTTCGGATTTAAATTGAAATTTAGGATGAATCTAGCGCCCTCAACGCATGATGTCTCAGGCAGTTGGTCCACTCGCATTTCTATTCAACAAACAAGACATTTTCGGGCGGTTTCAACATAATTATCCCTGAAACATTTTGAGCGCTAAATGTCACGAAAGTTTCACCGACTTTTTCACACTTGCGTCCAGAGAAACGTGACTGCACTGTGAAAGTTTGAGCTCCAGAGGTCGACGACGTTTTGGAGAACTTGAAGTTTTTTTTTATAGATTTTGTTCAGGCCACCTTCGTATTATTAAAGAACAATATTTATTGGTGATATCAGGCCGATGAACCTTGAAGACTTTACTGTATGCCCGTGATGTAGTTTCGTTTTAACTTGGGATATAGGATCATTTGTATTTATCACAAACGTAACCTATAGGCCTACCGAATTATTATCAAAACTTACTTGGATTAAAGATCGTGAAATTCTTCCGTTTGGCTCGTTGTCAGTTAGAAGATATCTAGACATGTAGGTGATTTCCAACCATCAGTCAATAATTAGACTGATTTTGTTTTGGATAAAGAGAGTGCTATGGACGACGAAATCGTGTATCGTAATCTAAATGTTGTGCGTGGATTTTCACTGTTTTCTCAATAAATATCCACTGAGCGTCAACAGGTTGGGTTTTTGAACATTCGTCTTTGGATTCTGAGTGGTTTTATATTATTGGAAACGAACAAAATGCATGAAAAACAAATGATCCTATATGCGTTTAAGAACCCCCTTTAAAATGCCAGGTTCATTAAGCGAGTTGCCTTAACATTTGAAGCTCAAGATGAACGATCTTTGGTAAAAACCCTTACAATCACGATTTGTTATGAGTAAATGTTAACAGTTGCTCAGATTGTTTTCAGTGCAGACGATCTCACTTATAATATTCGACTACATTTCTTTTAGTCCACGCTAGAGATGGAAGCAATGAACTTTCCCCGGCCCGACGTGACAGACTTCCCCTACGCCCGTGGCCACGTTGAACAACGGATATGATTTACACTCTGATCGGCACAGGGTCGCTGACCAGCCAAACAATGCAGACGTCTTAGTGCATGGGTCCTCCCTTGGGTGTTGGAAAAAGCCTCCCTCGACCACGCAGAGTCGCCAGCCTTTTTTTGCGAGCAAGACTAAGGGAAACTTCTGAAAGGGACCCAGGCCTTGGGGCCATTCCGCGTGATCTTGAACTTGAATAAATACGGTCCAAATTGGGAATAAATTGCTTCAGCAGTCATCAGCCCACGCCGGAGAAGTGTTTTCAAGGGTTACACTGCCGAGAGGAACCGGGGTGGAATGACCATATGACCAGGGAACTTTTGGTTTTGGGGACGGTCGGGGAAAAACTGTTTTCGTTGGGGACAATATTTGATTTGTGTGGAAACTAAAGGGCTGTTTCAACAGCTAGTGGCGCAGAGCCGGCGTAATAGTCAGCACCCCTTGTGGACTCGCTTCCAGGCTGTATCATAGATAATTCTGTAAGTGAAGTTCTTGATTGGAGGTTAGTTACCAGTCCTAGTAAGGACAAGCTCGTCGCTCGTTCCTGCCGCCCTATATATCAAGGGACATTGGTGACCACTAATTCAATTCATAAAATCGTGTGAAGGACACGTAGACGTCGCAAAGCATTATGGGCACACTTCTACGTCCACCCCCCCCCCCGCACCCGGAAGTGTTGATCTCGGATCAAAGGTTAAAAAAGGTCAATGAGATCTCAGAGAAGTTAGAGGTCAATGCGCCTTTAGCGCGCGAAAAGTCAAGCCCGTGCATTGTACTTTCGTTGAGGGCGCACTTTGTTTCGTACCGAGAGCGAATGGACCGATCCAGTAAGCCCCGCCCACTGCGCACGTGGGCAAATTAACACGTGCTCCTCTCCAATGCAACACTGCATTTTCCTGCCGCGCACATCATACGCGCGTGCACGCATGTCGGACTTTTGTGCACGCACGTCGGACATAAATCACGGCTGTGATTGGTCAGAACACCATGGGGCGGTGCTTACTGGATCGGTCCATTGTGGGGTGACTGCGAAATCATCAGCAAAACACAAAATTTCAAAAAATTAATGAATTAGACTATATATCATAATTGTCAAAAGGCGACAGAACGTCATTGATGTTTAAAGGGGACTACTTTCGACGATCGATAGAGGGCGCACTTGCGAAAGTCCAATGTCTTGAGGTAGCATTTCCGCTTTAAAAACGATTAAGAAAAGGTCTCCAACGAATAAAAGGCATGCAGGTCCAGACTTAATTGCTTGGTTACACGACAATCGTGGACGTCTTGCAATTCTCAGGTGAATGACACCGCAAATATCAGACACCTATTTTTGGGAATGTACCGTAAACCTGTCAATTCGCAACACATTGATAGGTGTCGCGGCTGGCACTTGATCAGGTGATGATGTACGAGGCGCGTCAGCAGGCCCTTGGTAACGTGGAGTCGGAAGGGTCAGAGGGTAAGGGTTAAGGGTCAGGATTGGTCTGGCACGGTCGTGGGTAAGGTCCATGGGTACGGCAGACGGATTGTAGGGAGGAAGGAGGGGGGCATAGGGAGTGTTGAAAGTGGAGATGAAACCCTTTTTTTCAGATTATCTTGTTTTGCACATGGAATCATCTTTCAGTGGGGCTTTTTTGCCCAGGATGCTGATATGATTACTTCATGAAATAAGGAAGGGGGGGGGGGGGGGCTGGGGCAGGACTGGTAGGGGTAGGCTTAGACTGCACACAATTTTGAGAGGTATCACAGAGATGTTCAATCTTCCTTTGCAAGAAATGCTCCCCACCTAACATCTTTCAGAGGCCTTGTTTTTTTTGTTTTTAATCAAATATCATCCCCTTGAAATCGAACTGTATCCTCACTGTAGAGTACTCTTTTACCGAGCACACACATATTTTTTTCCGTGCTGAAATTGCCACTGTAGCGATAACAACGACGTAATTCCTCGTCATTTTTACGAGTCCATTATCAACATCATAGGCTGTCCCTTCAATCAAAATGCACCGTCGAACCTGCAGAAGTCATTACAGCGAATCATATAGCATCCACAGACATCAAAAACACCAACAGCTGAACCTATGACCGGTGAAAGTAATCATATTTTTCTTCAACAGCGTCCGTTCGCGAAGGACTACCACCGTGATGCCTCCAGAATGGCCCCGTGCGCCAGGCGCGGTCGCCCGGGCCCAAAGATCGCCAGTTTACCGGAATTATACTCTAGGGTCCCATTGACAGTTCAACAGGAATTTTTTCCCCTCTTTTCCAATCGCGGTCGTTTACCCCTGCACGCGGCTGAAATTTCACGCGGAAATTGCACTGTACCTCTGGTTGTCTCTCGAGTAAGTTTTCTGTCGTTATTTTTTTTTTAATACTTGTGGATTTTTGTGGAAATGCATCTGCCCCGGGTGTGTTTTGGAACACGCTGCGCAGCTGGACTGACCGCAGCGGACGGCAAGGTTCGCGTGATGGGTGGCAGCGAGGCGTATGCACCGTGGACTGATCGCTGGTGAACCCGATCGGAAATGGTGCCAAATTTGAGAAATAACAGTGAATCATGATTGAATCCTCACATTCTCAGAGTCAGCTAGCATTCTAAATTGCAATCTTTGACCAAGCTTTTGACAAAAAAAGGTTATTAATATATTTATTTAAGGTTTTTAACTACATCTATTTCTTAACTATACCTGATTATACCGCATAATTACTACCGTGAAATAACGACTTTACTAGGGTTTGCCTCATGTCAGTCCAACCGCTTGTTGAAAAAAAGAAATTGCGCCCTCTTTTGTGCAAGTCTTCAAAGTTTTTTCGGTATCACTGGTCAACACTCGTCGCAAGGAAAGCGGTGTGAATATATGATTTGAAAATTTAAAGAACACCAAAAACTT